CACTGCCTCAGTAATTTACAGCTGTTTGGGGAGGCTGCGGCACAAGAAGTCGCTGAACCCAGGGGCAGAGGTTTCAGTGAGCTGGATCACACGCTGCACTCAGCCTGTGGCAACGAGGTGGAGATCCGTCTCAAAACGAAAAAAGATCCACTGTGATGCGCTCTTTCTTATTATCTAGTTTATGCAAAGCTTTTTTTTTTTGTTTTTTTTTTTTTTTTTTGGAGCGGAGTCTCTGGCATCTGGCGTCCCAGACTGAGTGCGTGGCCGGATCTCAGCTCACTGGCAAGCTCCGCCTCCCAGGTTTACGCCTTCTCCTGCCTCCAGCTCCCAAGTAGCTGCTGGGACTCAGGCCCCGCATCGTCTCGCCCGGCTAGTTTTTTTTATTTTCAGTAGAGACGGGGTTTCCCCGTGTTGCCAGGATGGTCTCGTCTCCGTGACACTTGTGATCCGCCGTCTCGGACTCCAAAGTGCTGGGATTACAGGCTTGAGCCCACCGACGGGGGCACCACGGCGCAAGCTATCTTTATAGATGAAGAAACTAAGGAAAAGATTTGCCCAAGGTCACACAAGCCTAAGCTCTCTTCCCACTGTTCCAAACACACTGAAGGAAAGTGAGAAAAGCAGGTAAAATCAGGAGAGGAGAAGGGGGCAGTGGTGCTCAGGCTTGTAATCCCAGCACTTTGGGAGGTTGAGGTAGGCAGATGGCTTGAACCCAGAAGTTCGAGACCAGCCTGGGCAACATGGTGAAATCTCGTCTCTACGAAAATAATACAAAAGATTTGCCGCTAGTGTTGGTGCACGCCCGCAGTCCCAATTATTCAGGAGGCTGAGGAGGAAGAATCACTTGAACCAGGGAAGTCCAGGCTGCCATGAGCCGTGATCACACCACTGAACTCCAGCCTGGGTGACAGAGTGAGACCCTGTCTCAAAAAAAGTAAATAAATAAAATCAGGACCGAATTTAGGCTGTTACCACCAAATCCCACTTTAAAGGGCTTGGTAATACTTCACACTTGAAAAAGGAAAGGTCAGGACAAATAAAAGAAAAACCAGCCTTAACTCCTGGGCTGGTAATTTATGGAACTTATTACCTAACGGTGTTGCACAGGCTGAAAATACAACTTTTCTAAGAAAATGTGAATAATTGCAGTATACCACTCCTACAATGGGTTAATAAGAAAAACAAGAACGTTTGTAGGCATGTGGGTCTCTACTATCCTCAAGGTTAACTTCAAGGAGGAAAACCGCACCCGCTGATAACAGTGTTTCCAGGAGCTCGGCGAGAAAAAGAACACTGCGAGCCTTCTCGGGACGCCCTGTTCTCACCACAGCCCTTCACACAATGCATCTAACAGCATTTAAGGAGCACCCGCCACGCCAACGATCCTGCTGGAACCGCCCAGTTCAGGGAACATGGGACGACTGACCAGAGGGCAACCGCCCCCAACCTGAGCAAAGAGCGCTGGAAACCTATTTCTCCCCTCCCCTTCCTCCTCCCCTCCCCCCGCCCCCGCTCCCCGTTCCACTACGGGACCCAAGGCTCGAATTCTTTTAGTGCAGGACCAGCTTAGGACTCAGCCTCCCGGAGGAGAGGAAAAGTGGGGGAGGGAAGGGGACTCTGGAGGAGCAAAAGCAAGAGGCGTGGGGGCGACAGGGGTGGGGCGTCTCCCAGAGCAAGGACTGCTGCAGAGTGCGCGTGCACGCCCGCACATCCACACCCACGGCTACACATCATATCTGCACACGCACAAAACCACACACCCTCCCCTGTCGGTCCCATATCCTTTCTGCGGGGTGAACAGCAGATTCCCGGAAAGGGGGAAATGTAGCCGCAAAAGCAAACCCGGGGACCTAGCGCCCACCCTGGCGGCGACTACAGCCCCCACGCAAGGCACACTGTGAGCTGGGGGTGCCGGGCACGGGAGAAGCCGCGCCCAGCCGGGCTGGCAGCCCAGCGGAGGGCGCGGCAGGGCGAGGAGCCGCCCGCGCTGCTCCCGCCCCTCGGGTGCCAGCGCCGCCCCTGCTGCGGCGGGTGAGGGGCGGGGCGGGGCGCGGCGTATATAAGGCTAGGGGCGGGCGCCGCTCTTTTGTCTCTTGCTGCAGCAACGCGAGTGGGAGCACCAAGATCCCGGGCTCGGAACCCGACTACACGGTGAGTGCGGCGTCGGGGCTGGGGGCCCACCCAGGGTGTGGCCGGATCCTGTGCACCGGACAGGCGCGCCGCAACCGCGACAGGCGCCCTTCTCGGACGGGACGCAGGGGCCGGCGACCACGCCCTGGGACCGAGAAGGGGGGTGCCGGACGCGCCCAGATCCTCGGCCTTGGGGCTGCTCGCCACGCCTTGGCGCGAGTGCCACGTCGAGAGGCGTCGGCGGGGAGCGCAGAGGGCGACGCTGGCCCCCAGCCCCAGGTCAAGCGCCTTCGTTTGCCCTCTAGGATTGTTTTAAGAAAATGGCAGACAAACCAGACATGGGGGAAATCGCCAGCTTCGATAAGGCCAAGCTGAAGAAAACGGAGACGCAGGAGAAGAACACCCTGCCGACCAAAGAGAGTGAGTGTGCCTCGGTCTCCCGCGCCCCAGTCTAGCCCCTCACCCTGCTCTTCCTTGCAAACCCTCTCCTCCACCCCGCACCCGGCCGTTGCCCGCGGTCTGGGCGGCCCCGGCCACTCTTTCAGTTTCACAAAGCGCCTTGTCTCTCCCCAGCCCCAAGCTTCCTTCTAAATCCCCACACCTCGTGGGTGCCTCGCCCACACTGGGAAGCACCTCGGTTGCGGGTGGGGGTTGCAGCTCCCCTCCAGCGCCCGCTTCCCGCTCTCCACAGCCATTGAGCAGGAGAAGCGGAGTGAAATTTCCTAAAATCCTGGAGGATTTCCTACCCCCGTCATCTTCGAGACCCCAGTCGTGATGTGGAGGAAGAGCCACCTGCAAGATGGACACGAGCCACAAGCTGCACTGTGAACCTGGGCACTCCGCGCCGATGCCACCGGCCTGTGGGTCTCTGAAGGGACCCCCCCAATCGGACTGCCAAATTCTCCGGTTTGCCCTGGAATATTATAGAAAATTATTTGTATGAATAATGAAAATAAAACACACTTCGTGGCATGGCTGGCGTGGTCTGAGTCTCTTGGTTGAGTATACGTGGGCAGTGCCACTGCAGCAAAGCCCCCTGCCGCAGAGGGGAGGAGGTGGGTCGCAGAATGGGCTGACCCGGAGGGAGTTTTTAATTTTGGCTTTACCTACTTCTCCGTAAGATTTCATGTCTTGTTAGTCGCTTAACTCTTGCTCGCAAGCAATCTGTGTACAATTTAACCCCTCTTTGTCCCCAAGTTGCTTTGGAAAATGCTTTTTCAAAAGAGCAAGGTTTGCTTTTGATAAGCTTCGAAAGCCCCACTGTTTCCCTCCGGCCTCCTAGCTGACTCAGAAGGGAACACTGATTTTAAAGTCTGGGGAGAAAGCAAAGACAATCTGGAATGTTGGAAACTGGGTGAGGTCACAAAGTCTCCGGAAGGCTTTCTTCTGGAGCTTAAAACAAAGGCGGGATCTAGGGATACAGCAACGGGAACGTCAGAACTAGAGGAAGCAACACTAGAACTGGGGGAGGGGAGAGGGGGAAGAGCTTTTTGTCTTTTAACCCTAGTTCAGAACCTCCCACAAAAGCATTAGCCATTAGAGGAAGTGCTAGGCTGAGCTGCTACCACACAGTGTTTAGCAGGAAGGGTGGGGATGGGGTGGGGTGTGTGGTGGGAGGGAGGGCGGGCGGGAGGACTGGTGCTGGCGGCCAAGCTCCAACGGATGACACCTCAAACCCACCCGGAAGGAATGGGACCAGCCCAAGGGGGCCTGACAGTTGGGAACCTGGGGCTGCAGGCCATTCAGTAGCAGAAGAAACAGGCTTATAATGACAGGGGTGGAGTTTTCTTTAAGGAGGGTGGATAGGACACTGCTTAGTGATTTGTCCCACATTTTTGCCTGGCCCCAAGAGGCTGGACACTGGGTGAAGGCAGTTAATTCGAATGAGGTACGGTCCCTGTCCACAAGGAATTTAAAATCTAGTGAGTGAGATAGGCAGCCACAGCACACCAGAGTCAGGACACCTGGGCTTGGCAGGGAGACCCATGCCCAAAGACATTCTCTCTGAATTCCTATCTGCACCTCCCTCCTGGTACCTGCACACATACATCACCTCCCCCATTAGAGTAAATAGAGAAACAATCTTTTTTTTTTTTGAGATGATGTCTCGCTCTTGTCACCCAGACTGGAGTGGGACCGTGTGATCTCGGCTCACTGCCTCCGCCTCCCGGGTTCAAGTGATTCTCCTGCCTCAGTCTCCCCAGGAGCTGGGATTACAGGCATGGGCCACCACGCCCAGCTAATTTTTTGGTTGTCTTTTTTTTTCTTTTTCTTTTTCTTTTTTTTTGGGGGGGATGGAGTTTCACTCTTGTTGCCCAGGCTGGAGTGCAATGGCACGATCTCACCTCACCACAACCTCCCTCCGCCTCCCGGATTCTCCTGCCTCAGCCTCCTGAGTAGCTGGGATTACAGGCATGCACCACCACGCCCAGCTAATTTTGTATTTTTAGTAGAGACAGGGTTTCGCCATGTTAGCCAGGCTGGTCTTGAACTCCTGACCTCAGATGATCCACCGGCCTCAGCCCCTCAAAGTGCTGGAATTACAGGCGTGAGCCACCACACCCGGCCGAAAGATTCTTATTAACTGATACTGGTGACTCTCACAGTAGCCAGCACTTAGTAGACACTCATAAATGCTCACTGAATTGTAACTGAAGTATCACCTGGCCTCACCTGCTCCATCTTGGCCATGCTAAAGCCAAGCTGCTACCAGCCCTCCTCCCCCACTGTCTTGTTGATTCTATTCTGTTCTATGTACACATTGACAGGACCCAAGCATGGTGAACTTGTGGAAGTTCGAAGAAGGCAAATACCTTCATTTCCTTCCCTGAGCCCAGTTCAGGATGCAATCCTATTAAAATAAGGGGAAGTACAGTTAACCTATAATTGAAGCTATTGTTAGGAAGCTCTATATTACCCAGATGACAACTATAGGTCTCAGCCAGCTAAAAGATTTTGGATATTGGGTTGCTGATTTCAGAGAAAATCAGAGGCTGTGTTCCTGTTCTGCTTAATTCAACACTCTTTTTTTTTTTTTTTTTTTTAGAACTCAGTGCCCATCATTGTACTAGGCCTGTGGAGGCTATAAAAGACATGTGCCAACTAACTACACAAAAGGCAGAATAAAATAAATGCTAAAGAGAGATTTAAGTAAAACCCTCTGGGAAAGTAGACAAAGGAGTGGCTAACCCTGGGACAGGGCGCTGCTTCATGGAAGAGGAACCATTTGAATGAAGACGTAGAGAAGTGAGAATGAGAGCAGGGCTTTCTCAACAGAAGGAGGAGCAAAGTATAGTGATACTACAGCATGTTCAGCAATGGGAAAGGTAAAGGTTCTGTGCAAACAGAAGCACTTCAAAATTACCCTAGCAGGTAAGTAGGGTGTGGTTTTTCCTATAGACAGTTGGAAACCACTGCAGATTTTGAGGGTTGGGGCAAAGTTATCTAAGATGTTTGTGATAGCATGTGGAAGATGCTGTGGCTGATACAGACGGCTACGTACCTAACCACTACCACCACTGCCACCACCATCACTGCCATTAACACCATAACCACCACCACCATCACAACCATCATCATTGCCACCACCATCACTGTGATCACCGCCATCACCATTGCCGCCACCACCACCATCACCATTACCACCATCGCACCTCCACCACCACACCACTACCATTACCATGACCATTGCCACAACCTTTATCACCATCAACAGCACCACTATCACCACACCACCCCATCCCCATTGCCACCATCATCACCACCACCATCCCTATTGCCACTATACTACCACCACCATCACCATTGCCACCACCACCATCACCTCCACCATCACCACCACCACTACCATTATTACCATCACAATTGCCACCACCATCACTACCATCACTGCTACCATCACCACCTCCACCATCACCATTACCACCATCACACCTCCACCACCACACCACTACCATCACCATCACCATGACCATTGCCACCACCTTTATCACCACCATCAACAGCACCACTATCACCACACCACCCCATCCCCATTGCCACCATCATCACCACCACCATCCCTATTGCCACCACCATCATCTCCACTATCACCACCACCACTACCATTATCATCATCACCATTGCCACCACCATCACCACCATCCCTACTACCATCACCACCTCCACCATCACCATTGCCAGCATCTTCACCATCACCACCACCATCACCATCACCACACCACTACCAACAACAATAACAACATCAACACTAACACCCACACATCATCTTCTTCTACCCTGCCTATGAAGAATGGCCAATGAAAGACTAATTTTATGCAGATATCAGTCAATCAATGAGCTTCAGAGGACCCAGCGCAGGAAATGATGTTTGAGTAGTATAAATTTAAGGCACTTTGGGGTTCAGCAGTATAAAAATTTGTGAGGATATTTTGTTTTGTTTTGGTTGTCATAATAATTAGGGGACAGTATTGGCAGTTCATAGGCAGAGACCAGAAATGTTTGACATTCTGAAATGCATAGAACAATCCTACACATCAAAGATTTGTCTCATGAATGACTTTGTTTTAACTTTTTTACTGTATTATAACATATATATGGGGGCCTGGTGCGGTGGCTCACACCTGTAATCCCAGTATTTTGGGAGTCCAAGATGGGCAGATAACTGAGGTCAGGAGTTGGAGACCAGCCTGGCCAACATGGTGAAACCCCATCTCTACTAAAAATACAAAAATTAGCCAGGCATGGTGGTTGGTGCCTGTAATCCCAGCTACTCAGGAGACTGAGGCAGGAGAATTGCTTGAACCCGGGAGGTGGAGGTTGCAGTGAGCCAAGATCGTGCCATTGCACTCCAGCCTGGGTGACAGAGTGAGACGCCATCTCAAAAACAAAATAAAAATTTAAAAACCGTATATATGGAAAAACACACAGAAGTGTACAGTTTGATGAATCTTTGCAAACTGAACACACCCTAATGCCTCCCTCCCGTCATATACCTATATGTGTTCTAATAGCATGTATATATTTTGCCTGTTTTTGAATGTAATGTAAATAGATGCATGACTTCTATTCATCTAGGTAAAACATCTCTTTATATGAGTCCAGCAACAACTAATTTTGCTCAATTTTACTATAGACTTTATGTGCCAAGAATGTAAACTATCATGTAATTGAGGGATGCCTTTTTCTTTTTTTAACTTGCAGCTTCACTAAGAATTGATCACCATTGCAGAAAATCATTTCACTAATAGAAATATCCTCTTGGTTTCTGAATTTTTTCATACAACACAATTGTATCATGTCCATCTGAAGCTGCTGGATCATGATAATATTATATATAAGTGAAAACATGCATAAAGTGAAGACTACTTCTTTATATGCTAGAATATTGTTGTACCATATTGTGTTAGTCAGCTTTTGATAAGTTATGCTGCAGTAACAAAAAACCCCAAAACCTCAATGGCTTACAACAACAAAAATCTATTACTTGTTTACATTACACATCAGTTGCTGCTCTGTTCCTGTTCCACATGTCTTTTTCATTCTGAGAGCCAGGCTAAAGGAGCAGTCCCTATCTGAGACATGCTGTTGTTATGGCAGAGCCGTGCGTCTTCTCAGATGTGGCACTTCCATTCACATTACATTGGTCAAAGAAGCACTGTAAATTGCAAGTCATCAGGCTGGGATGTATAATTCCATTGTGGGGAAAGCAGAAAATAATTAGAACTCGTAATACAATTTACTCTCTACATATATAAAAAATATATATATAAATGTATATACCTTTTTTTATAAATTACCTTTATTTTACCTTTATATTCTGGTTAGGGCTTATATTTATGTTTTTAATGTGTGTGGGGGGGCAGGTTATATTATCTTTGATTTTCATTTCAGGAAAGAGGGCTGTTATAAGATACTTTATATGTAAGAAGAAGTTGGTTCTGAAGGGTTGGGAACCAGTGGTCTGAACCAATCAT